ATTTATTAGAAGAAAAACTTAAATATAAACTTCAAAATAAGCCGTCAGATTGTGAAGAAAGAACAGCTCAGAGAGCGCATGTGTGTGAGAGAGCTTACGACATAAAGAGCGAGAGCAATTGTTGTTGTCACTTTCGTGACTTACACCGTTTACTGTTTCTATCCTGGCAGTTGCTTGACTAGCGAATGCGAGCGGAGCGAGCCCACAGAACAAAGTCAACACGAACGGCTGCTGGACGTGTGTGAAAGCAAAGCGCATAGAGTGCGGAGCGCAAGCGAGAAAATATAGAGAAAGGCTAAAGCGGGGCAAACACATACACACAAACACATAGACGCACAGACAGGAACACATTCACAGGCACACGCACATACACACGATTAGAGATTAATAATACACAAATAAGTTGAATACGAAGAAGCTGAAATAACAGTTATTTATAGTAACGCGCTTGAAGTGATTGTGCGTAAAAACGCTCTGCAAATTTCTACAACAACAAAGTGGGTTAAGACGAAAGCTTTGCGTGAAAATAATTCTTTTGAGGTCGCTCGTAAAAGCATTCTACATTTTTTCTTGGCCATTGTTGTGTTGTTGCTGTTGTTGTCAGTAGTGAAAAAAGCGTTGCAGACATCGGTTGCATGTGTGTATGCGGCAGGGCAGAAGTGAAAAAATGCAGTGCAGCAGCAAAAACAAAAACGAAGCGAAGCAAATGGCTTGATAGGCAACTAAATATTTAACAATTTTTCAATTCAATTATAACATAACCAAAAACGAACGTGATATTTTAAAACTGTGGCCTGCTTTTAGCACAGTACAAAACAACAAACACAAAACACACACAGAAACATATACACGTACAGACACACACCAACACACACGCAAACTATATAGCAATATATGCCCATTGAGTGCCTTATATCATTTGATAATAATCCACAAGGTGTCTACTATGCCGGACAGGAACTATCTGGCGTTGTTGATCTCAGCGTCGATGCGACCAAGCGCATTAAAGGTAAATTAACTTGCGTATACCCTAACCTAACCTAATAGTCGCGGACACACGCACACACACACATGAGTCATACAGCGTATGAGTAATAAGTTTATTACTCACACATTAAATTTGCACCGAAACACACACATTTCAATTGCCGAAGGACACGCTCTGTTGTCCTTATTAAACATCAACCTTATCTCGTAAATAAATGTCGCCATTTTGAATGTGCTGTGCAATTAATAAATAGTTGTTGTCGCTGTTGTTGTTTTTTTTTTTTTTTTTTTTTTTGCTGTCCCCGCTGAGTTGACCAGCAGCTCGTTACCGTTATTTGCACGCTGCACAGTTGGTTGTTTGCCTTGCACTCTCTTCTCTCTCTGTCGTTTCTCCTCTCACTCACACTCTCACTCACTCTGTCTGTCGGTCTTGCTCTTTCATTCTTATTTTCTTGTTTTTGTTGCTGTCGTCGGTTTGTGTTTGGCGTCTGTTTTGGCATGCCGCCATTTTTTATTTATCCATGAACTCGTTAAAGGCGTGGTAAGTGCAATTCATTTGTTGTTGTTGTTGTCGTTCTTGCTGTTGTTGTCATTGTAGATGTCGACGATAAAGTTGTCCGTGTGCATTTTAATTTTGTGGTAATAAGTTTTTTCGTCTGACATTTCACTTGATTAGTTTACTGAAAAGTTGAACAGGAAGAGAGAGAGGGAGAGAATAATGCAAAGAGGGAAATAGACAGGAAAAAGAAAACTTAATTTACGAGAATATAAAATCTATTAAGTACAGAAATATTAAGGCTCAGTTGGATTTAATTTTAAATTATTTATTTATTTATATTGACCACCTTATTTTTAATCAATTTAAGGTATACAAAAGTGCATGCAAATATATTATTATAATTTGGTTGCACCATAATTAACTATCAACATCATTTACTCATTATTCATTATTCATTCCCCTCGCTCTCTCTCTCTCTATCACTTTCTCACGCACGCTCTCTATCTCTACTCCTCTTATAGGCATTCATGTCACCGTCAGCGGCTATGCCAAGATACGCTGGATAAAAAAGGGATATCCGCGGGACAGCGAACGTGCCATGTGTCGTGCCTATCGATCTTACCTGTCATCGCGATCGTATGTCCTTGGCTCCTGTGCGGGGAACTCGTGCATCGATTGGCTGGCCGGCGAATATTCGTACACGTTTCACGTCATACTGCCCGATAATCTGCCCACATCCTTTGACGGCAAGTATGGTCAAATACACTATGAGATCATAACGACGATCGAGCGATCGGGTCGCTACCCGAAAGTGTTCAAGCTGCCATTTACCGTGATACAACCATTGGACCTGAACGCCGATGCCATCTACAAAGTGCGAGTTCCATATATATCAAATGTGCAGATATTTTTCTAATGTGTGGTTTCAGGTACCTCTAGAGATACTCGATCGCAAGCGCTTCTGGAGCTTTTGCTGTCCAACGGGGCCGCTCACCGTGAAGTTCTCGACCCCCTACTGCGGCTATGCGCCCGGCCAGAAGATCCATTTTGTTCTGTACATCAACAACGAGTCGTCGATAGATATAACCGAGTGCGAGGTGAAGCTGAAGCAGGAGGTTAGCTACGAGTCGCACGATCCGCAGCACGAGTATCGCTACGACAAACACCTGATAGCCTTAAAGCAGTTCGGCAACGTGTTGCGCTGGTCGCGAAAGGTGTACAGGGGATACTTGGACTTGCCCTCGATACCGCCGACATCGGTGAAGCCGACCTGCCCCATTAGCGTTAACTATTCGATTAAGATCATTGTGAATCCGACCGAGTTCCATTGGAAGCTGAAACTCAAAATTCCGCTTACCATCGGCAGCATACCCATCATGGATGGACCCGATGCGCTGCTCCGTTTCAATCGCCAGCAGCAACAGCATCAAGTAGTTAGTCAACATTTTCAAATGTCAACGCAGCAGAACCAAAGGCCGCAGCGACCACCGCAGCGTGGCAGCCTACAGAACAGTAGCAACAATAGTAACAACACCAACAACAACAGCAACAGTAACAACAACAACAACAACAATCAGGCAACACGGGCCATGCAACGTGCGGGTGCAATACTGCCGGCCCAATCGAGTCCCTCATCGATGCCAACGACTGCCGACCTGAGGCCAATGGCCACCATGCCAGCGATATTAGTGACCAGCGATAGCGATAGTCCCCCAGATTATATACCCATGAGTAAGAAAATATATAGCTAATTATATATTTATGTTTCTATAGAAGAAACTGTGACGACACATAGTGTCAAAAATTCTATTTGATATTGATTTAGATATCAACTGGATGTACTTCTATATCTAGCCATAATAGTGAAGGTTTTTTTCTTTACAGTATATACCTTTTATAAGGACTTCCATTTGAATGACGTCCAAAAGAATCTTATTTTATTATATATTGACATTAACAAGGAACTCTTTCTTGTTTATATGAAAGATTTATAAATAAGCTTAAATTAATATTTATAAAATGTTCCATTCGTAATATTGTATATCCAATATTTATTACCATCAGTAATTGAAATGCTGAATTTTTATTTTTATAAGAATTATTTACTTAAGAAAAGAAATTTTCTGCGGTATATCTATAAAACCTTGCAGCTTATAAATTGAGTCGCGATGTCTTAGTATATGAAAAACTAAATCGAACAGGCAAATTGATCTAGATTAGTTAAGCCATAAATGTAAGTCAAGACTAGAGCACAGTTAAAACATCTTGATGCTGAAATAGTTTTGTATGCTTTAGATTATAAGACTATACCGATCCCCTTAACAGATCAGAAAACATAAAGCAGCAAAAGGATAGCATAGCTAAGAAGAATAGAAAGAAAACACTCCAATCAAATAATTGATTAGAGTGCGTTCTATCTGTTCTCATATAACAACTATTCACATTAATACAGCCTATATCAAATGTATTTATATACTTTTATAATATTCTCAAATTGTACATAGTCATTTCTAATTCATTTCTTTTCTACCATTTTCTAGTGCCGCCCTCGTACGAAGATGCCATGGCCTTGAGCGAAAAGTTTAGCGATGATATCGAATTCCTCACAAATGTTAGCATGAGCAGCATTTTGTCCGCTCAGGGCGACGTAACAAGTGAGCGTGAGCCCTTTAAACCGCGTTACCCGGTCTATTACGATTACGAGACACCGACCATACCGCCCGGTAGTGATGATTCCACTGAATCCGACACATAAACCTAAATTGTTATGAAAAAAAACGCAAAAAAAAAAAAAAGAACTGTTAAAACAAAATGAAAATCGAAAGCAAAGCTAAACAAATTGAATGGCTGAGTGGCATTTTATTCAAATCTCTTTTATTCCATTTTCACAGTAGTTAGACAAATTTTCTCTATAAGCTTAAGAACTGCAAGGCGTTGGGTAAAAGTAAAGATGCCTTTGACAATGTCCGATAGTTCATAGATTAATTAACTTGTAAAGATGTACATAATACGAAGTCAAATAATTCCAATTGTCTGCTTCGAGAATAAGAATTTAATTTTTGAAGAATTTATACACATCATATAGTCAAATATGTATTAAAAACCATATCTATCTAATAACCTCTTAAGAGCTCTCTGATTCGCTCCGATTGTCCCATCTGTCCAGATCTTGAGCCCCAACACCTTGCAAATGACATTTTATTCCTTTAATTAAAATGTTTGAACTGCACGTCCTATTTATATACAAATATATATTTAAATTTCTGATAAATATCCATAACAATATCTATTCATATCTCAATAATWAGTATGTATGTTTGCTCTGTTGTTTGATTTTATTCATTAAAAACTTTTGAATTGATAAACCAACTCTATACATATATATGATATATAAATTATAAGAACATTGACAAATTATTAAATTTGTGCTTAGCAACTAAGCTGATAATATATAATTTAAATGATATTTTTTAATATGCAATAAGCGTTTATTCACTTTCATTAATTAGTTTTGCATTTTTATTCTGGAAACAAATTACTTCTAGCCTTAAGCCACACCCAAGGGTTTCACAAATATACTCAATTTGTAAATTTATTCTTTTGTTACCGCTTCCCCCCCAAATTTCGTGCCCCTATACATGCTTCATTTGAACAACAACAACAACAACAACAGAGACGCTCTACAGTGAAAGCTCGAACACGCAGATTCGCTACGCTGTGCCACAGGAAACGGATGAGAATGGAACGAACGAACATGGAACAGCTGATCTATTGAACTGCGAGAAAAAGTGACGCAGAATGCAAAAGCAAAACAAACACAACATATTTAATCAAAATCTCAAAGTCGAATTAATCGAATTAAAAGAAATTGCAAAAAATGCATGGCGCATATTATATACTAGTTTATAAGTCTGATCTGGACTAACCATAGATAACTGTTTTGCAAACCGGATATATAAAACATATTTATAATGTAGAGCGCATAAATTAATCAAAATCTATTCAACATTCTATTCAGCAATAAAAAAAGTCTTTGTTTTCTTTTCCATACTTATTTTAATACTTTGACTCGATTTCCAGTGCAAGAAAAAAATGTCTTTATTTTCTTATTTTCCAAAGCAATCCTAACAATTTATTGATCTAGCGCAGTCAGCATACGATGATACTTACCATATAAAGTAATTAACGTAGTTAATCCATACTTAGTCAAAACTCTTAGGCCTAAGCGAAATATTTAAACAATGCACAATTTTACCAAAAACAACAACAACAAGAACAAGAACAACAACAAACTTAACATTTTCAATGTTTATAATATCTATTAATGAAATTTACACTTAAAATTAGCCAAGAATTAGACTATATAATTAAATTTTGAATTGATTTTATGTCCAAATCCAAGTCCAAATCAACTTAAAAGTACTTTTCAATGTAATTGTCTAGTATTTACCTATCTATCTAGCCCATCATCATCGTAAATAAATATAAAGTGTCTAAATTTAGTTATATCTACGACAAATTTGAAGAAAAAGTCAGAATCCAACTATTCTATGTTTATAAACTCGTCTATACTTCCCCTGATTTGTAACCAGTCTAACCAGTAACTAATATTAAGAAAATATTCTGTCTTCAATTAACTCAAATTTCAAACAAAATGGAGCAATATATATAAATATAT